AGGTCGGTAACAGCGGAGGCAGAATGATACAGAGCAGCAGATAGAGAGTAGTCGGGTCACAAGCCAAGTTCAGCAACAGGAGGTCAAGTAATCAGGAGTAGGCAGAAGAGTAGTCAAACAAGCCAGAGGTCAGAGAAGGAGACGGTCAACAGGGATCAGGATCAAGCAGGGTCGGCAACAAGGTATATCTCTCAGGAACAGACCAGCAGGGAACAGGGAACAAAGACCATACAGCAACATGAGTATGCACAGGGCTGGCTTAAATAGCACGCCCTGCGCTGTCAATGGTGCCAGGCGCGTTTCCGTGATCGCGAGTGCGCATGCGCGGATACCACTGTTGCCGTGGGATGCCTATGTCCTAGTGCCCGCTGGCTAATGTGCATTGGCGTTCTGCGCATGCGCCGACCCGTGCGCCGCCGCGAGCCCTGGGATTCCTGACAGTGAGGCTCCAGCCCCAGCGACAGGTGCAGAACCTCAGGTCCCTAGAGCACAGGGACGCCTCTCTGGCCGTGGGCGCAGCCAAGTTTCCAGTAATGGAAAAAGTTAGTGACATTGAGACGTACTCACTGTCATTTGAAAAAAACGTGCTGTCAGTACCATGTGCCCCCAACTCAATGGGCTCGGTACCTGACACCAGGGCTACGAGGCAAGGCCCTGGATGCGTTTGTTGAATTGCCAGAGGGGCAAGACAATGATTACGAAGTTTTAAAAGATGCCATCATCCGGAAGTATCAGATGACCCCGGAAGTGTACCACAAGCGGTTCAGGTCCATGGAGAAGGGACCTGGGGACTCTTACACGGATGTGGCGAGTCGCTTACGCACCACATTCCGACAGTGGACTAAGGGACTGAAAGCTGACTCCTACGAGTCTTTGGAAGATCTCATGATCCAAGACCAACTCCTACACATCTGCCCGACCGACATCAGACAGTTTGTCTTAGAGAGAGAGCCAGCATCTACTAAAGCTGCAGCAGATCTGGCAGATACCTTCGTCCACACGCAGGTGTCTGACCCTCGCAAGGCTCCTCCGACTGGCTGGAAAGGGGGGAAAATCGCCCCTAGCAACCTCTCCTACGTCGGTGAGTCAAGCTTCCCCTCCGCCCACACTTGCAGCCAAGGCATTCCTGCCTGACAACTGCAGATGTTTCACCTGTGGGAAAGCCGGACATCTCAGGACGCAGTGTCGTGAGCAGAAGCAGACATCATCTGGCCAGCCGGCCAGCAACTCTTCTTCCGTGCTGTTCGTTCGCACGAAGATGCGGGTAACCCCCGCCAACTTGCAGCCAGTCACTGTGGGCAACCGCTCTGTAACTGGTTTCCGGGACACCGGGGCAGAAGTCACCTTGATCCGGCCAGAAGTGATTGAGCAAAGGAACCTCGTCCCAGGAAAGTTCCTTACCCTCACAGGAGTTGGGGGGACCGGTTCACGCATAGCCTGTGCAAAAGTATTCATTGATTGGGGTGCAGGAAGAGGGATAAGGGAGGTTGGGGTCTCAGGTGAAATTCCCACACCTGTTTTGTTGGGTGCTGATCTAGGCACTCGTTTCTTATTATGCCCCTGCCGAGAATACCCCGAAGGGACCCCTGGAACTCTCTGGACATGCCAAGGTACTGTGTGCAGATATTGGGGTAATGTCTGGGCAACCTGTGGATGGACAGAGGGAGAGGGCTGGGAATGGAGTGGGGCTACAGGTTTCTCCACTAGCTGGAGAATGAGAATAAATCCCCTTGCCTGGGGAGGTATTGAACTCATGTGTCATTGATATTATAAACGTGACTGTTGATAATGATAACGATAACGATGAGGGTGATAATGTCAGTAATGTTGATGATAATGTTGGTAAAGCTAATGATGTTTATGATGGTCATGATGAAACAAATAATGCATTTTCATTGTTGGGGGTCACCCACAGTTTGAAGGGGGCAGAGGTACAATCTCTGGGAGCTGGGCAAAGGGATGGTCTGGATAGGCCTGTTCATTGCCCAGGCCCAAAAGATCGTGCCTTGATAAAGTGCCCAGCCGTTGGCTTGCATGGTACTGGGCAGACTTATAGTTCCACGCATAAGGCAGTACTGAAAAGTGATTCACAAAGGAACTTCAGAGGTCATCTAGCTGAGGGCTTCCCTGCTGAGGAGGGTAAACAACAGCTGGCTGGGCATTGCAGTCCCACATGCAGGCCAGCACTGGAAAGCCATTCACACAGGGATTTCAGCCTCTGGCTAGGTGTGAACTTCCCTGCTGGGTAAACACAGGCCTGACAGGAAGCATGGCCTATCCGCAGGGGGATGGAAGCCTGAAAGCCTGTCATCTGAGCTGACCTGTCATGGTGTGTCATCAGGCAGACAAAACATATGTCCTAGGCAGGGACAGCACACTCGGATTGGGGGTGCAAGGGGCCTTATTAGGGTTGATGCTCAGATTTTAGAGAGAGGGCTGCGGTCCTCAGCCCCAATCACCTTTCCTTGCCCCTCAGGTCCTGAAGCTGCTGGCAATGCCTCTGTTATAATGGTGTCTGGATTCAGGAGGTGCAGGCTGAATGGGCCGAAGAAACAGAGGGAATGGCGCAGTGAGGAATCCAGGGGTCAGTTTGAGTCTAGGCATCCCTGGTAGTCTCGATCCCCAAACAGGATCCGATGACCAGGCTTTTTGAGGACCATGGAAAACTGAGCGGCAGCCCTGTGGGTGTGGCATACCCCATGCCCGGGGGCCATAAGGTAATGAAGCATCCGGAAGGGTGCCCGCTGTTTACCCATCATGGACCTGAGCAGGGGGGATGAGCCACCATCTCTAACCCAGGAAGCTCAGGACAAGTCAGCCTTCTCTACCCCATGTGGCTTGCCTGAATTCACGGGAGAGCTAGCTGGGGTTGAGAACGCACCAACCGCCTCTCCAGGGGTCAGGAATGACCTGCAATGCGGAGTGGAACTGGGTGCAGTTGCCCACTTTAGGGGCCTTGCGGTGTTCGGCCCGGTCTGGGTAGAGCAACTTGGCAGGAACCAACCGCCCGTGCCTAGTCTGACAGTCAAGAAGGGTAACTGTCAGAGGGGCATGGCAGTGGTTCAGCTTTGGGAGCCACCGGTAAGAAGAGACCCCCAGAGGTCTGGGCATGTGGAGATTGAGGCAGTTGTGGCCTGGTCTGCTCCCCAGGCCAAAAAGCAGGTTACGTCAGTCGTGGGTGCAGCTGGCTACGGTAAGACGCCTGGGTGCAACTATCATGGCTCAGTTGGACCTGTGACTGACCTAGCAGACAGGAAACTGGAGGAACTGGTGTCCTGGATGCTAGCAGGTAACAAGGACTGTTCATCTTGGATGAAGGTACCTGTGGACACATCTGGGAGGCAAGTTCCAGAATTCAACTGTCCGGTTTCGGTGCACACAGGCATCCCTACCTTCAACAGGTGACACCCCTGAGCCGAAGTGTTTTGTGAACGGGTGGGCACCCCAGCAGTCGCCACAGTATTCGGATAGCCACAGCCGACTGGTGCCCACCCGTGACCACTCACTTGGTCGGCACAGCAGTTGTTGCTGGGGAGAAAAGATTCCTTTTTGAGACGGAACTTGACCCTCCCGCAGTGCAGCGGTACCAGGTCAACCCAAGGTGAACCTCTGGGCAGAAGTCGGTTGCGTCAGGAGGGAAAGTGTAGTTCCCTCCCATGCAACCACCTGAGGGGGAGGTGTCGCAAACATGCGCAACACGGACTGACGCAATCCGCCATTTGTTAAGAATCTCAATTTTCTTCTCCTCTCACTCTTCCTCCCCCCTCACTCTGAGAGGCACAGTGACAGTGTATGTGTGTGTTAAAAAATGTCACAGGAGGGTCATAGGAGCTATAAAGGGCCCCCCAGGGAGCCGGGGCCTAGCTGTCCTAGAACCTGTGCCATTTCACACCTCGGAAAGATAAGGCAAGCTTTCCCAAGAGTTGAAAGAGATCCCAACCTAATGAACCTACTCAGCATAGGTGACAGAATCAGATAACACTTCTCAAAATCCATGTTTCCCCTATGTCTCATATCTTGGAATATGGGAGACTTACATAAAAACCGGACATATTGTCAGATGGACGATGAGCAGGCAAACAGTTTGATGGGTCACTCGCCTTGTCTCGGACACAGAGGAAAGCAGAAAAATAGATCTCATGAACCGTTCAGTGTACACTTTCATAATTCATATCTAATCAATCCTTAGAGTTGTCTTCATAATAATCTACCCGCGGGTGGAATGTCACTTGTGCAGATGGAAAGTTACAGGCCAAAATATGAGTTACGGGAGATTTTTGCTCTAGTTAAGGCATCCACCCATATCTCCACGCCCTAAGCGGGGATTGGTCCTTGACTGCAGAGCCACCCCCTGCTGAGGACCACAAAACAGGGTGTCAGGCCTAAGAGTTGAAGAGGTCTCCCATTTTAACATCAATACCACCTGGGGGAGACCCGTGCCCTTCTGCTCAGAAACTTGATCTGCTTACATCCAAGGCTTAATGGCAAGTACCTTAACCCTTTAACCTTTTGCTTATCTCTTTGCTGTGCTGTTATTCTCTGTATATTTATATATATATATATATATCTTAGTTACATCTTTTTTCTGTAAATATTTTTATTGCACGCGTTTGACCTTTTAGTAATAAATCTTTCTTTCTAAAATTGTTGAACTGTTTCTATAGCTCTGTATTGCAATTTACGAATCCCTGCCTCTAAAGAGAACGCTACTGTTTGTTTTACCCTCTGTATAACTGGCCTGTGTTATGCAGACAATTATTTCAATCATAGTGTTTTAGCTGATATTGCGGAGTTTCCTCTTTCTCTGACAAAAAGGAGGTGGTGGCAGTGTGAAGGAGTAATTGCGTAATTAACCTGACCCAGTAACTAGAGATGAGCGAATTATTCAAAAATTCGATTCGGCTGATTCGGCGAATTCGCGGAATAAATTTGATTCGAGTCGAATATATTCGCTGCGAATTTAACTTATAAAAAGGGTGTTTCTAGGCTTCAGAGAGCCTTTATATTAGTGCAGAACACTGTACCTTTAATTTAAATGCCCTTGGAGTCTGCTGGGGAAGAGAAATAATACTGTCAGTCAGTATGACATGCATATGAGTGCCGTCGATCTTAGAATCACCGCACACTTCACTCATTTGGGCAGTCACGGGGCCAAAACCAGAGTGTGGAGCCACAGTGTGGCGGTGGAGGCAGCAGCAATGGGAGGCCATACAGCACCCTATGAAAAAATGGAACCCACCAGCAGTGTGAGGAGACCTGAAAGTGGCACATGGCAGAGTGTGGCGATGGAGACAGCAGCAATGGGAGGCCGTACAGGGACCCATGACACACTCTGGACCTGGCAGCAGCATGAGGAGGCGGTACAGGGGCCCATGACAGATTACGGGCCTGGCAGCAGCATGAGGAGTCGGTACGGGGGCCCATGGCAGATTACGGGCCTGGCAGCAGCAATGGGAGGCCCGTAATCTGCCAGCACCCTATGACAAAATGGAACCCACCAGTAGTGTGAGGAGACCTGAAAGTGGCACATGGCAGAGTGTGGCGATGGAGACAGCAGCAATGGGAGGCCGTACAGGGACCCATGACACACTCTGGACCTGGCAGCAGCATGAGGAGGCAGTACAGGGGCCCATGACAGATTACGGGCCTGGCAGCAGCATGAGGGGGAGTCGGTACGGGGGCCCATGGCAGATTACGGGCCTGGCAGCAGCAATGGGAGGCCATACAGCACCCTATGACAAAATGGAACCCACCAGCAGTGTGAGGAGACCTGAAAGTGGCACATGGCAGAGTGTGGCGATGGAGACAGCAGCAATGGGAGGCCGTACAGGGACCCATGACACACTCTGGACCTGGCAGCAGCAAGAGGAGGCGGTACAGGGGCCCATGGCAGAGTGGCGAAGCGTAAGCAGCTTAAATTGAAGGCCATACAGAGGCCCATGTTAAAAATAATAACATGTTTGGGGCATGATTCATGGCGGATTTAGTCAGTTGTGTCAGGAACTGGTGGTTTGAAATCCAGACTAATCCACGCCTGATTCATTTTCACAAACGTGAGTCTCTCCACACACTTTGGGTGGACAGTCGTCTCCTCCGCGGAGTTACAATACCTCCTGCCGCACTAAACACGCGCTCCGATGCCACGCTACTGGCGGGGCATGACAGCCTTTCAAGGGCAAATTCAGCTAGTTGGGGCCAAAGGTCAAGTTTCGTTGCCCAGTAGTCAAGGGGATTGTCTACCTCGGTTGGCAGGGTGCTGTCCAAGTAGGCCCAAGCCTGTTGTTTGAGGTCCTGCTCCAGGTCCACCTGATGCTGCTGCTGCTGGTTAGTAGTTTCCTCACTGCGCTGGTGAAGAAAGCTACTCATCATCGACTGCAGACTGAGGCACCCGCTGCTGGTGGAGCTGCCACTGCTCCTACCACCCCACCCCTCCCCTGCTGCCATGGCAGCGGAACGCTAGATTGGGAGCGCACAGGGCCCACAGTGTCTGAGGATGGACGTTGGCGCAGAAAGGCAGAGAACAACTGACTACATAGGTGGTTTTTATAGTACGTTATTTTGGCCTCCCTCTCAGCAGGTGTGAAAAAGGCCACCATTTTTGAACGGTAGCGAGGGTCCAACAAGGTGGACAGCCAAAAGTCATCCCTCTGTCTGATGGTTTATTATTCGGCTGTCGCTACGCAAGCAACCGAGCATGCTATGGGCCATTTGTGCCAAGGAATGCGAGGGACTCCCTGCCTCCATCTCCACAGCATACTGCCATGGTGCGTCTGGGTCCTCTGTCTCCTCCTCCTCCTCTACCAGATGCTCCTGCTCCTCCACTCCTGTCCGCTGAGTGGAAAAACCACCCATTTCACTCAATAATTCCTGAGCACCAATGTCCTCCTCTACCTCCTCCTCTTCTTCCTGTCCTGCCCCCACAGGGGTCATGTGGCGTTGAGATCTGTGCGCCACGTCTACCGCACCCTGACCAGCCATTGTTAACAGCATTTGTTCCAGGACGTGCAACAGAGGAATGACGTCGTTCATCCCATAGTCCTGCCGACTCACGAATAGCGTGGCCTCCTCAAAGGGCCTGAGCAAGCGGCAGGTGTCACGCATGAGCTGCCAATGGCTGACATCTAAGTTACACAGGGGAGTACCTTTATCCGCTTGTAACATCAGGAAATCGGTGATGGCCTTTCGCTGTTCGTAAAGGCGGTCTAACATATGTAGGGTTGAATTCCACCTTGTTGCAACGTCACAGCATGAGGAGTCGGTACGGGGGCCCATGGCAGATTACGGGCCTGGCAGCAGCAATGGGCGGCCCGTAATCTGCCAGCACCCTATGACAAAATGGAACCCACCAGCAGTGTGAGGAGACCTGAAAGTGGCACATGGCAGAGTGTGGAGATGGAGACAGCAGCAATGGGAGGCCGTACAGGGACCCATGACACACTCTGGACCTGGCAGCAGCATGAGGAGTCGGTACGGGGGGCCCATGGCAGATTACGGGCCTGGCAGCAGCAATGGGAGGCCCGTAATCTGCCAGCACCCTATGACAAAATGGAAACCCACCAGCAGTGTGAGGAGACCTGAAAGTGGCACATGGCAGAGTGTGGCGATGGAGACAGCAGCAATGGGAGGCCATACAGGGACCCATGACACACTCTGGACCTGGCAGCAGCATGAGGAGGCGGGTGGGGTACAGGGGCCCATGACAGATTACGGGCCTGGCAGCAGCATGAGGAGTCGGTACGGGGGCCCATGGCAGATTACGGGCCTGGCAGAGGATGACGAGGCTGCCAAGTGCGATCAGCCTCATCATCATCAATTAGGGTCTCCGCCTCACTACTAGCCCCCTCGGCTGCGTGTGGGTCAGGAGACCTGTCTCTAGACCGGCTACCGAGCCACTCTCCTCGCCACTACTTTCTTCGCCTGGCTGCTGAAGAGGCGGATGTCTCCCCCCGTTCCTGACCGCCCTCTGTTAGCTCTTCCTCACTGTACAGTGGGGCTGAGCCCACAGCATGCGATACTTCGCTTGGTGAGGGAACACCAAAGGACAGGGGCAGGTAGAGGACACGTGATTTCAGTGAGCTTGCTCCCGGGCCATGCCAACTAACGGTTGTATCTGACGTACCCACCGACCGTTGGCTGCAGGTGTCAGAGGTGACCTGGGAAGAGGAAGACGACCGAGCCAACCAATCGATGACGGCAGGGTTGTCGGTGGAGACACGACCGCTGGATGACACCGGGAGCACTGGCCTCTGGCTGCGACTAGTGCTGCCTCGACCCCTTCCTCTGCTGGCACGTCTGCTCGCTCCTGAAACATTGCCTCCTCTGCCACTCCTCTGCGTGTTGTCTGACATACTCTTTAATTCAACGATTCTGTGTCCCTGAGTAACAATTCTGTGTCTGTCCCTGAGTAACAATTCTGTGTCTGTCCCTGAGTAACGAATCTGTGTCCCTGAGTAACAATTCTATGTCCCTGAGTAACAATTCTGTGTCCCTAAGTAATGATTCTGTGGCCCTAAATTCTCTTTTGCCCTAACTCTGTCCCTAATACAGACAGGTCTGTCTCTCTTGAATGACCGGAGGCTAATGGAGAATTGTAAGATGGCCGCAATTTATAGCTCCACCATTACACAGTGCTGGCTGGCTGGCTGCTGATTGGCTAATGCGATCACATGTCATGAATGAATGCATTATGGGTCAGCGCGCCTTGTCTGCGCGCCTTCCCAGAGATCCACGCTCCGTCGCCACACATGTCGCCGCCCTTTTTGGGAAAAATTCGATTCGTGCATCCGAAGTTTGCTAATTTTCGGATTCGGGCGCGAATCGAATTTTTCCTGATCTTCGAAACAAATTCCACTTCGCCATGTTCGAATTCGCTCATCTCTACCAGTAACAATCACTCAGGCTACCGATACATCGATCTGTGGTCCATTAGCTGGGTGCAGCTGGGTGTGGCATTGTTACGCACGTGATATCGCGGATTTAGATTGGCTAGTCCTTCAGTCACGAGTTTGGTGAGAAGGGCTGGGGTCTGACATCACGATCATGGGATCGTCACATGTTGGTGACATCATCTGCTGAGGAAAATAGGTGCTTTTGCCCCCAATAGTGTCCTTGATAATAGTATCGGTTGATCTAAAATACACATTGTCCCTCAAATGCCATGCAAAAAAAGATGTACAGGTTCCACTGTCAAGCACTTCAACTAGAGAGCACCATGCTTTTGTACTGCAGAAGACTAATACAAGAGATGAGAGAGGAAAATTCCAGCAAAACAAATTTAAAGCTACAGCTTGGTGATTTCTTTTAAGGTATTTTGAGCAGTCAAAGTTTAGCAAATAAAAGTCAAACCCAGGACACAGCAGTCCCAGAGCATGCTTGGTGCATGCCCTGGGGGTACACAGGGGGCAGGATTCTGGGAGGACCTCCATGGTTACCCTCCCAGAACTAGACAACCAGCCTTTATCCTTTATCCATCTTTTGGCTACCACGTGGTACTGAAGTGGTGTGCAATAACTAACTCCTCAGGGGCAAGCTCATCTGTCAAAAGACTAGAGGTAAAGACATTCTCTGCATATAATCAGAGAATACACAGGGGAAGGTGCAAAAGCATGCTTGTAGTCTCAGTTTTCAGAATAAGCAAATAACTGACTTGTTGGATGTGGAAAATAAAAGTAGTTAAAACCTTGGACTTATAAAAAGCAAGACAAAATGGGCTACACCTGACAGAGCCAAAGAGGGCTAAATAGACTTTAGGAATCAGGGAGTCCTAATTGAAGAAGAAAAATATAAATGAATGGTCCTTTACTCATCCTGACAGTATCCATCTGATATGGTAACTATCAGGCAGATATATTCCCAATACTGAGGGCTACAAAACAGGTCTGTCCCTTGTCCCCAGTGCTATATGCTCTGGCCATTAAACCTCTTGCTCAAGCTACTGGACTTCAACAGGCTAGTATTGGTGTGGAAGTGGCAGAATATCATCAAAAATGTGCCTAGTGGTAGGTGATGTGATCCTGATTCCCTCCAATCCATTGATTTCCCTACTAAACCCGATGCTATTGCTCATGGAATTTGGCAACATTTCAGGGTTGCATGTCAACACAAGGCTAAGGGCTTGAGCCTTCAAGGCAGATCATCATAGTGAATCTTTGCAGAATTCCTTCACCTGTACCTGGGCTTCTTCTCCCTCACCTTAAACTAGGTGTCCACCTCACACCTTTGTATGAAATGCTCTGTCAAGCCAATTACCCTAAATTATTCACCTACTTATATTCTTTGACTTCCAGGGACAAACAGATCACAGCTGTGAAAATGTCTCTACCTACATTTCTGTACTATGCCAAGGGCCTGTCCACTGCTATTCCTTGCTTTAGATCATGGGCACTAAAACACCACATTCTTCAGTGTGTATGAAAAGGCTGTCTTCATTGGGTGGCAACGTTTGTACAAAAGCAAGATACATAGAAGATTGGACTTGCCACATTTTCAAAAATATTTCCATGCACCACAACTAGCCTCAATGGTACACTGGCAACTCAAAAGCAACAGCCCTTTGTTGGTAGCACGAGGCCTACTTGCACTGCCCAACATTAATAACTAATCTGCCCTGGCTGCCTCCCAAGAGTTGAAGCAA